CGCCCTTGAATTTCACTATCCGCATGACATTGCTATATGCATTTTTTCGAATCTACCAAATTCGCTCCTTAACAGTTGCACTCGTGTCATAGTTATGGACTACCGATACTGTTTGTTAAACCAATCATTCCTAGAACTTCCTGTTATCGAATTTTTGGTTTATTGATGAGGCCCAATGGGCCTGAAATATACAACCATTATTAAAATAAGATTAGATCATGGCGTTGCTACGTGTAACATACATTTAGGTATTCCAGTCTTCCTATATAAGAACGAATTTTTAGATCTCTTTCTAGCTGGGCTACCGACGTTGCACTTTCTCTTTCTCGAGCCATGAGTTCCATACCTGTATGCCATAATCTAGATGAGGTCAACCGAAAGTGCCGTAGATTTTACCAGAAATTGCTGCGAATGGCCTTTTGCTTGCGTGCAGTACTCCCAAGGCGTTGTAAGCAACATGACAACATTGCAATAATGGCTTTAGGTTGCTCTGCATCCATAGGCCGAAACCTTTTTGTGAAGATTGTATTGAAGTTGAGTGTTGGTCACGTAAAAGGCGATTGTGCTGTCAGTTGTAGGGTAGTTTGTTTGAATCAGGCGGAGGACGGCACCCTCTTGAGGATTGAAATCTAGGACCCATTTCTCGGACGGCGTTTGCAGTTTGCACAGACTCTCGCTCAATGACTTGCCAGAGCCCAAAGCCATCGAACAATTATGATCTTACCACAGCCCAGTTCCTAAACTCAGAGTATAATACACTAAACAACGAATTGTATAGATAATCTCTCTCCACACTATATACAGCTGTGAAAAGGAACTTTCAGTATTGCGACGGACATCTGATATAGTAGCATGCAACCCTAGTATTTTTCAAGATTATGTCACAGTCTCCGTGCTGCTATGTCCGAAGTGCCAAGTCTTTTGTTACAAATAACATACAAGAGACCTGTCTGAGGGGAAATATAAAGCGAGCGCTGGAACAAGGTATATTTTTCGCTGACATTTCTTACTTAAGCTCGAACCCAGTATCACATATGCGTCATTCATTCGCAGACAGTGGCAGGCTCAAATTCATGTTTGGACCTCGTCAGCTATTTGGTGAAGTCCCACTAGCTACCGTCCGACACAATTCGGGTGTGCCGGCGACAGAGGTGGGGGCATTCACATTCGGACCTCGAACTCTACAGGAACCAAGCCTTTCACAGAACAGTAGCAGAAATGCTTACGATGTAGGACACTGACTTTCATTAAAGGAATCCTGGCTCTAACTTGTGCAAAATGCCACAATTATGAAAAAATGGCTTTCTGTGGGTTAAAGTCGCTCATCAGGTGGAAATACCGAGACATACTTTACGCTTAACTACCAACTCTAATGTTGATCATGTCTTTGCAGGAGTTAGTTCACCAACTGCATAAACGTTATACTACCTAAATCATGAACTGTCAATATCGAGATACGAGAGTGTAACTTAACAAACATTTGACGTGGTTTGTTTTGTTTATTGCATTGATTTGAGGCGCAGTATGCCGTTTACTAGCTAAGAGTTAAAACCTGTTTGCACTAGTCCAACGCATCTTAGAAACGGAAAAAACTGGCAGTGCTCGAAAATCATTTTTGAATATTTATTCCACAACGAGCGTACATTACATGTTATAATATTATAATTTACTCTACTGGCAGCATGTGTACTAGCCCAGACACGTGTTTCGCCGGTATAGTGCCGCTGCTTGACACAGCTGCGACGGGTCCGGCTCATCAGTGGGTCTGTAGGAGTCTAAGCCATGAGTCTGCTCAAAACACTAGAATTACCAGACTTAGTTTCGTACAAGAAGAAGAGGGGTTAGACCAGTAGGAGTTGTTTATTGTGTACAGGTACTCAGTGGTGGTCT